CCTACTATAAGCGTGGTAGACGCTCGCTTATAGTATAAGAGGCTAGGGTATACTAGCGCTACTGCCCTTAATAAAATTAGAGATACCCTTATCGGAGGCGTTATTAAAGGAAAAGGTCCTCTTATAGTAGATTATAAGACCTATACCCTTAGTAAGGCGAAGAAGGTAGTATCTAGATAGTCGCCTAACTACTCAACGACGATACCGTGGTATAGGGTAGAGGTTAACCTTTTTAGCCTTAATAAGGCCTATAACGGTATAAAGGTCGTGATACTTTTATACGATCCCTGTACTCGTTAAGCTATTATACGGTTCCTGCGTGACTATAAATTAGCCTTACCCACGTTAGTGAATTTTAAGTTCTTTCTTTAGAGATAGTACCACTATATAATTATAGTAATCCGCCTGGATAGAGAAAGATCCTTTTAGAAAGGCTTTAATAAATAGGCCGATAAGAGAGGGATTTTACTTAAGAGGTTATCGCTATATATAGCCGCGTAGAATCCGAAGGCAGAACGCTATAGCGGCGTTATTTTTACTATCGCGAGGACCCTCGTAACGGCCTTAGATATCTAATAGGAAATATAGCCAGAACTAGTGGCTCCTATAGTATATCTATATAATCTTATCCCTCGGAAGGACCTCTAGTGGAAAGCCCCTTAAGGGCAGATAGAGGATTAGATTAATACATAAGGCCTAAAGAAGATTCTAACGAAGCCTATCGTTAGCCACTTAAAGAGGTATAGTTATAGGGTATATCCACTAACCGCCGACTATTAATAAGGTCGTAACCGTAACGCTAAGCTCGCGGAGAGAGTATATATCGGCTATTTAATCGGCTATAAGAGCACTAATATATATATTGGATTTAGGTGCTAAAATTAGGGAGGATCTTACGGACGAGTGATATTACCTTTAACGAAAAACAGCTATATAAAGATCGTGACTACGAACCTAAGGTGTTAATTAAGGTTTTCGAGTAGCTTCATCTGCCTATAGATTATTAACTCCACGATCCTCTGGGTATTACTACTAACGTAGTCGATTTTCACCCTTAAACGCTGCTAGAATAGAATACTATAAGGGAGGCTATAGCGGCTGCTACTGCTGCTAATACTTCTGGGGGGGTGGATAGAGGTGCAGGTTTAATAATCACTATAGAATCTACAGAAGAATAATAATAGCAGGAATAGTAGGAGGCACCTAATTAATAAGCACGTGGAATAGGGTAAATAAGCCCTATAACGCCTTCCACGCCTCCGGCGGCACCTACTTTAACGTCTTCTATAATTACACCTATAATTATGCCTCTAACGGCACCTATTTTCCCTCCTCTAATAACTATAAACGGTCCTCCTACACTATAAACTGGAACTACGGATCTACCGCCTGTTTTTAAATAGCTTGACGATACCGAAGATTAATCTAACGACACGGCCGTAACCGGTGATACCGTCGCGATAGGATTATTATCCCCTAACTAATTAGTCCTCGACGAGGAACTAATTACTGCCACCGCCGTTAATCCGGTATCTACGGCTCCTGCTAAGTCTCCTTAAACCTCCTCTTCCACTACTATAGCTAACTAAACTGCTTCTATAAGCAAAAGAAGCCGCCCTCCTATTATTCCGACGGCCGCTACCGATCGGCCTACCCGTAGTAGGCGTCTAACCGACTATTATACCCCTCCTTCCTTTTATACCTTCTATAATCAGATCGAGATACCGAAGAAGCCGCTACTACGCCGCGATATACCTAAGAAACCTCTAAACTAGTCTTAAATACTAAAGAGTCTCTATAAATTAGAATGGATTAAGGCCGCCTTATAGGAGGTCGGCACGCTTAGGTTAATAGGCACCTTTAAACAGTAGGAATAGTCCTACTAGTAGGGGCACGGCTTAGGACTACCTGAATCAGTTCTAAGGCCACTAGACCTTAAATGGGTTTTTAAGTATAAGGTCGATCCTACTAGTTACGTTAATAAGTTTAAGGCACGCCTATACGTTCGAGGGGATTAATAACTAAATAACCACCTTAACGCCTACGCCTCCACCCTCGCTAGAAGGACCTTTAGATCGCTGATAGGTATTATAGCCCACTTCGATCTCGAGACTCGGTAGCTTAACGCCGTTAACGTATTTACTAATACCCTGCTTAACGAAGAGATTTATATTAAGGACCCTCCTGGTTAGTAGTTACTCTAGTCGGCTACGGGCCTTAAAGCCCACGAATAGCTCGAGGACCTTTTAAAGTAACGCCCTCCTATATAACGAAGAGGGATTTAACAGCTGCGTCGAGTATTATATAGCCTTCGGCGTTCCCTAAAGCTATAGCACTAATAGCTCTTTTCCGTACTAGGTAAGTACGGTTTAAAGCAATTAACCGAAGACGATTACGTCTTTGAGAACGAGGTCCTGATTACTTTCTTTTACGTTAACGATATTATCCTAATCTACCGTGAGGAATATTAATCTGCTATTAATAACCTAGTGTAGCAGATATAGCAGAGCTTCTAAATCAGGGATCTAGGACTAATTAAGTGGTTCCTTAGAATCCGCGTAGGACGCGATCGTTAATAACATAAGCTATAGTTATCGCTTAATAACTATATCACCGATAAGATAAAGGCGTTATAGGTGGATTATAGAGGTTAGAGGGTTAAAAGCCCTCTTCCTTATCCTGATATTCTAGAACCTGCCGACTAATAAGCCTCCGAGGAATTAATCTATCTATATCTTCGGAAGGTCGGTTCTATTAATTACGCCGCCTATTAGACCCGACCTAATATCTCTAAAGCCGCTTTAAGGCTTACCGAATTTAGCACTAACCCGTTAAAATAGTATTATAAGGCTGCCGATAAGTGCCTGAAGTATCTCGGCTCGATAAAGACCCTATACCTTTACTTCGGACCACGTAAAGACTACTAAATGCCTATACTCTTCTATACTTCCGACGCCGCCTTCACAGACGACCGTAAGACCAGGTATAGCTCGTAAGGGTACACGACCCTGCTATTCGGCAGTTCTATAGACTAGAAAGTAAATAAGCAAATAAGCGTCGTGACCTCTAGTACTAAGGCCGAGCTTATAGCACTTTCTGCTACTACTAGGCAGTATATCGCGATAAGGCGTTTAATAAAGAACCTAACGTTAACCTTTAAAGAGGAACCACTAATAGTATACTACGATAATTAACAGACTAAGCAGCTACTAGAATCCCCTAGGCTATAGGTTACCTCGAAATTAAAGTATCTCGATATCCACGCCCTTTAGATCCGATAAACCGTTTAAAAAGGGACCGTCTCGTTTAATTAGATCGCTACCCACGATATAGTCAGCGATAGCCTTATAAAGGTACTGCCCCCGCAGAAACACAGGGCGTTTATATATCTATTAGGGATAGAGGTCCTAAGCCACGGGGCCTAAGGCAATTCATAAAAGGCGCGGTGCCGAGTTTATAATCTATAGCCTAGATTAACCGTGGTTTTAGTGCCCTTTAGATTATTATTTAGACACCTGTTTTTAACGTGGTTTTAAGGTTAATTTCACTACCTGTTTTTACATATTTTTAACATTTTTAGGCATAAAAGGAGCGCGCTTTTTAATAAGCCGTTCTTTAACCGTTAGATTAATATCTAGGCCACTATTTTACCCTAGATTTACGGCTTTAAATTAAGCAGAATAGTCAGGATCAATTTTGCAGTTCTAGGGGGGTGTATTAGATACTATAGCCGCCTTATCGGGGTGTGATAAACTATATAGTGTTAGACGTGTAGAGTACCTCGGTCCTATATATCCACCCTTATTTCCCCTGCTTTTTCCGTATAGTTAGACATTCCCGTGAAGTATTACAAACTTTACTTAGATGAATACATATATAATTCCGCATACCTTATTTATGTTCTGACACTTGCCGTTCTTGAATCTATGGATACCTGCATATGGATGATTAACAAGGCGAGGAAACAAAGGGCTGGATCTAAATCGTAAAAATGCGGCATATGCCGCGCCGGCAGTTGAACATCCTGGTAACCCCCACGAGTCGAAAGCTGATGTGACATCCAGTGCTCCACGCTTGGAGCAGATACACGCATCTCACTGTCGACATTCAGCATGCAGGAATTGCACGGGGAATGCCTGTAGGATACTCGTTTTATTCCAATCATCCCAAGCGTGATCAATATCTGGCCAGCAGCAGATGTTGCCATGGTCACTCGGAGGGTGTACGTTGTGACTGTAAACTGCTGTATCAGGACCCTCCGCCCCTGCAAGGTGCGTGCTGCCGCTGCTTGGCCCTTCAATAGTCCATAGGTACACCTGATTCTGCTACTGCCCAGCATGCAGTAATTAATGTACTACTGCACTCCCACCCTAAATGTGAAAGCACTACCTAGGTACAACGTACTTTTACTTATCTTAGGTAGATTGAAGCTTACCCGAGAGGATTTCCTGTTTCGACGACAAGGTCTATTGCTATATCAACCCCGGTGTTTCAACATCGCAAGGTATGTGTTCGGCTCTTGTGCTCCGTCTTACGAACTGTGCTTTGGGACCCGCTCCCCTAACGGCCGAGTGCCTCCACCCAAGGTGCTATGAGCTGTGGATCCTATTCGTACATGGGGTGAACCCCGGTTATATCTCAAGTACCACAAGTGTGATGACTCAGCTGAAATTGTACGGAGTTACACTGTACCTTTTGACATCTGCACGCACGGACTCGACTCGATAAATGCAAATGTCTTAGCCACAACGCCGAGGGAAAAAAGAAAGAAAAAAAGAAAAAGCCTCGTAAAATCTCAAGACGTTTGCGCCACAAATGCCCCTCCAACGACAGCGTCCAGACCCCTCACACCCACGAACGACCCTTTTGGTTCTTGCCCCGCCAAAATTTCATCGTCACGGAATATTTCGCCTTTGACTCACCGAGATTCTTCCATCTCCCACCTCGAAATCATTAGCTCCATGCTGCCAAACACATCCCATTGAGTCCTTTGGGATAGGATGGATTTTCTTACCCTGACCGGAGGCCCCGCCTTCACCCCTTCCCAGGCAGACGAGCTCAAGCTCCGCATCAACAAGCATGAGGAGCCCATCTCGCCCGTCTCGCCCGTCACTACAGTCGCCGGAACGTGGGTCTACCACGTCCATCTGAAGGGGAAGGACAGGCCTCTCGTCATAGAGAAGCTGTCCAAGTGGCTTGAACTGCCGGAGCAGGCTTCTGTTCAGTTTCCTTCCAACTCGGCCTCCGTTAAGACATATTACGTGACCCCGCGGAATATCTCCCCATGGAGCTCCAAGGGCACGAGCATCGTTCATGTGTGCGGTCTGAAGGAACAGGTCGAGCGGATTGAAAGGGGCAGGGCCGTCACCTTGACGTTTGAAAAGGATGTCGAGGGTGACGAAATCCCCTTCAAAGATGTCCTGTATGATCGCATGACCGAGACCATGAGCCTGGATCTTCCCGATCTGGCTACCATGTTCGTCGAGGGTCAGAGATATCCCCTTCAGGTTGTGGATATCTTCGCTCCTGGCTCCACCCCTATCGACAGCCTGAAGGCCTACAATAAGGAGTTTGGCCTAGCTCTTGACGACTCAGAGATGGACTATCTCGTCGAGGTGTTCACGCAGCAGGGTCGCCCGCCCCACGACATTGAGCTGTTCATGTTCGCCCAGGTCAACTCGGAACACTGCCGTCACAAGCAATTCAACGCCAGCTGGACCATTGACGACGAGCCCATGGCCGAGAGTCTTTTCGGAATGATCAAGAATACACACAAGACGACCCCCGACTTCACCGTCTCTGCCTACAGCGACAACGCCGCCGTGATCCAGGGCGAGACCGCCAGCTTCTGGGCCCCCGACTACTCCACCGGTAGCTGGAAGCTCACAAAGGAAGTTGTCCACGTCCTCGTCAAAGTTGAGACGCACAACCATCCCACCGCCATCTCCCCCTTCCCCGGTGCCGCCACGGGTTCCGGAGGTGAAATCCGCGACGAGGGCGCCGTCGGTCGTGGTTCCAAGCCCAAGGCCGGACTGTGCGGCTTCTGGGTATCTGACCTGCTTCTCCCGGACGAGAAAGCACCTTGGGAGGTCGATATCGGCAAGCCGGCCCACTTCGCCAGCAGCCTGGACATCATGCTGGAGGCCCCCATCGGAAGCGCTCGGTTCAACAACGAGTTCGGCCGACCCTGCCTCCTGGGATGTTTCCGCACCCTCCTGACCAACGTCGGCAAAGACGACTCGCCCGAATGGCGCGGTTACCACAAACCCATCATGATCGCCGGCGGCGTTGGCACAGTCCGGCCCCAGCATGCTCTCAAGCACCCCGAGGACGTCCTCGACGGCGCTCATGCCATCGTGCTAGGAGGCCCCGGCATGCTGATCGGTCTTGGTGGAGGAGCCGCTTCGAGTACCACCTCGACGGAGGAAACCGCCGAGCTGGACTTCGCCAGCGTACAGCGCGGCAACCCGGAGATGGAGAGACGCGCTCAGATGGTCATCGACGCGTGCGTCTCCCTCGGCAACGAGAACCCTATTGCCATGATTCACGATGTTGGCGCCGGCGGATTGTCGAATGCGCTCCCTGAGCTGGTCAAGGACGCCGGGTTTGGTGGCAAGTTCGAGCTTCGCCAGGTCCACACTGCCGATGGCAGCATGAGCCCGCTTCAAATCTGGTCCAACGAGTCCCAGGAACGTTACGTCGTCCTCGTAAATAAGGACAGCTTGAACCGTTTTGTGAGCATTTGCCGTGAGTTTCTTTTCTTTTTTTTTTTCTTCTTTTTTTCTTCTTCTTTCTTCTTTTTTTTTTCCACTTCCATATTCCATATTCCATATCCGCGTGTATGGGTTCCCACGGTAGAAGCCCAAGTGCTTATTACAATTTCATTCAGGTCGCGAAAGGTGCCCCTTCTCCGATGTTGGCACAGTTGTTGCCAAGGACGCAAATGGCAAAGCGAAGCTTGTCGTCACCGACAGGGACTCGTCCGACCATCCCATTCCCATCGATCTTCCGATGTCAGCCCTGTTTCCCCCCGGTCGCCGCCTCGAAAGAGTGGTTGAATCTCGCCAGCTCGACCTACCCGCATTCAATGCCGTCTCCTCTCTCAAGTCCGTCCTGGGGAACGACGCTTCCGATGCTGCATTGATTGCTGCCGCCACGGAGAGAGCCTTCCGCACTCCGGTCGTCGGCTCCAAGTCCTTCCTCATCACCATTGGCGACAGGACTGTTGGCGGTCTTTCCGTCCGAGACCAGATGGTTGGTCCCTGGCAGACCCCCGTGGCTGACTGCGCTGTGACGGCGACCTCGTTCGGCCTCGGACCCCGGCCCAGGACTGGAGAGGCCATGGCCATGGGCGAACGTCCACAACTCGCGCTCATCTCCGCGGCTGCCTCCGCAAGGATGGCCGTGGCCGAGAGTCTGCTCAACCTCGGCGCCGCCGACATCATCGGAGATCTTAACCGAGTCAAGCTCTCCGCCAACTGGATGGCGGCCGTCAACCACCCAGGAGAAGGAGCGCGCCTGTACGAAGCTGTTAAGGCGCTCGGCAAGGAACTGTGCCCCCAGCTCAAGATCTCCATCCCTGTCGGCAAAGATTCGACGTCTATGAAGGCAGCGTGGAAAGATCGGCAGACTGGTGAGACCAAGAGTGTGACGGCTCCCATGTCGGTCATCATCACGGCCGTTTCTGTCGTCGAGGACGTCAGGAGGACCTGGACGCCTCAGCTCCGCCGCATCGAAGACGTTGGCGGGTCCGTCCTCATGTTCGTGGATCTGGCCGGCGCGAAGCAGGCCATGGGTGGCTCTGCTCTCGGGCAATCTCTGGGCGAGCTGGGCAACGAATCCCCCGACGTCCGGGACGTCGAGCTTATCGCCGACTACTTCGATGCCCTCAAGCAGCTACACGAGAGTGGCGTCGTCCTCGCCTACCACGACCGGTCCGACGGCGGCCTGATGGCGACCATTGCCGAGATGATGTTCGCCGGCCGTTGCGGTGTCGACCTTCTCCTCGACGGCGTCGCCAAGTCCGGGTCCGCCACCGACATCCTCGATGCCCTCTTCAACGAAGAACTGGGTGCCGTGTTCCAGGTCCGCAAGGGCGACGAGATCAACTTCAAGCGGTGCTTCGCCACCTGCGGGCCGCCGCCAGGCCTCATCCACAAGATCGGCGTCGTCAAGGTCACGTCGAAGCAGACGCTGACGATTCGGTACGGCGGCACGGCGCCGATCGTCAGCCTCGACCGGGCTGAGATGCAGAAGTGGTGGTCGAGGACGTCCTACGCAATGCAGAGGGAGCGAGACAACCCGGCATGCGCGGACGCCGAGTTCGCGACCATCGCGGACGAGAGCGATCCTGGCATCTCGTACAACCTCCGGTACCAGCCCAAGGAGGATATCATGCCCCTGACGGCCACGGTGGGCAGCTTCTTCAAGCAGGCGCCCAAGGTGGCGATCCTGCGCGAGGTCGGGGTCAACAGCCACGCCGAGATGGCCTTCGCCTTCAAAGCTGCCGGGTTCGACCCCGTCGACGTGCACATGAGCGACATCCTAGCCGGGCGGTCGCTGGCCGATTTCGCCGGGCTGGCCGCCGGCGGAGGCTTCTCCTACGGCGACGTCTTCGGCGCCGGCGTGGGCTGGGCGCAGTCCATCCTCGAGCACAAGCACGCGCGGGCCGAGTTCGCGGCCTTCTTCGCGCGGCCGGACACCTTCACGCTGGGGGTCTGCAACGGCTGCCAGATGGTGACGCGGCTGCGCGAGCTCATCCCCGGCGCGGACCACTGGCCGACGTTCGTCGAGAACGCGAGCCGGCAGTTCGAGGCGCGCTTCAGCATGGTGGCCATCGTCGACGACAGCCGCGCCGCCGCCCCGTCCGTCTTCCTCCACGGCATGAGCGGGTCGTCGCTCCCGATCGCGGTGTCGCACGGGGAGGGGAGGGCGTCCTTCTCGTCCCCCGGCGAGCTCGAGTCGCTCGAGGCCGAGGGCCTGGTGGCGCTGCGGTACGTGGACAACCGGCTGCGCGTGGCGGGCCCCGACGCTTACCCTGCGAACCCCAACGGCAGCGCGGGGGGTGTGGCGGGTGTCCGGAGCAAGGACGGCCGGGTGTTCGCGTTGATGCCGCACCCGGAACGTACCATCATGGCCGACGTCGCCAGTTACACGGACCCCAAGCAGATTGAAGAATGGGGCGAATTTGGGCCGTGGGTCAGGATGTTCAGGAGCGCTAGGCGCTGGGTGGGCTAAATCATTGGGAGTACAGCTCCATGCCTTTGCCTAGCCATCTGATCAAGGTGCTCCTGTCCAGACGGTGTCTGCTGGGGGATCGGGACCACGCAAATTTCACATTCAAATCTACTACACATTCTATGGATAGTGCCTAACTTGCAAGAAAGATGATAGACAGCGGAAAAAGAGAGGGAAGAGAAAATGAAAAGAAACCAATACCATGTGGATTTCAGACGGGGGTAGGTCTTGGGACAGTGTGTGCTCAGGTGGCGGTTATTTTGGGATTTTTTGTTCTTCTTTTTTTCTGTTTTTTCTTTTTTCCTTTTGTGATCTGGGAGTTTATCGGTCCTGTCTTCCGAATAGCAATACAACAGAAAAGCATCGTGGGAAAAAAGCGAATAGGACAAACCTCGAGGTGCACCTTCGTGTTGTTCGTAACGATCGATGATGGATGGTGGTCAATTCCACGTTACACGACACAGCGGCCCACCAGATGCAAGATCGGTTCTTTTCGCTTCAGTGGCGACTACGTCTACGCCTACGAGAGATGACTTTTTTCTTTTCTTTTCTCGAAAAAAGATTTACAATCGTCAAATACAACTAAACTGAAATTAAACGATCGAAGAGCGCCAACTGCCATGCCAGGGGCTGGGGATGCAAGGCAGGCTGCGGCGATGTCAAGGAGCACGGCACAGGGCACAGGGCACAGGGCACAGGCCGTGAGACAGATGGAATCTCCAAGGGGGGCAGAACGGAATCCTCAGCCGGGATAGCGAGGAGAAGGAGGTTTAGACCAGGTAGAGCTTCTGGAAGACGGGACATCTGGGTCGTTGTCGTCGAAACTCGGCCTTGTCTCCTCCTCCCTCCTCCTTTAACACTTTCCACGCGACGATTTCCGCAGCAATATTCAGGTGAGCCTGAAAACAAGGGGGGGAGGGGAGCGCCAACAAATAACAACGCGGTGGAGAAAGAAAGCAAAAAAAAAAAAGGGGGGGGAAGGGGGGGGGGGAAAGACGGCAACGAAAGTAATAATTACTAACTAATAAAGGGCCCGTCGTTACGCTCGGGATGGAGAACTGAACTTCCCCATCGTTTTCCCCCCCTTCCTTGGCCTTCTTGGTTAGGCAGCCGGCAGTGGGAGGAGGTAACAGTAAAGTAATTAACTGGTGGTCGTCCCGAGAGTCTGGTCGACTTTCTCTACTGGGAAATATCCGCGATTCGCACCGACTGCCACCGAGACAAAGTTATGTTGCCTCGTGGTATTACCATTCTTTTGCGTCGCTGTGTATGGACGCTGTGGGAGTTTGTGGTTTCATGGTGGTAGTGTACGAAGTAGGGGTGTCTCGGCCCTCCCTGTTGGCGGCGGCGGCCCTTGTTCAGCCTTCTTCCCCCGTCGTACGTTGTTCTGTGCTTGTTGGCTGTTGGCGCAGGGCTTGGCACATGTCCAGGGCGTACGTTGTAATCCTGTCATCTCTCTCTCGCTTAGACACGGAGGAGAGAGGCTAGGGGGTGTGTGTGTGTGTGTGTGAGAGAGAGAGAGAGAGAGAGAGAGAGAGAGAGAAACACAGAGAGGGCCTGTGTTATCTGTGTGTGGGTGTGGTGTTGACGAACCTGGGCGAAGGGCGATTGATCACTTTGTGGCTTTTGATGAGACACGATCGAGGCGCCTGTAGGCATATTCTTCCTATGAGATCTCGAGACGCACGCGCAGTTGAGTGGCGAGCAGCCACACCTCTATGGGAAGGAATGGCTAGGAGGGTGGCTAGTAATATCACTTCGCAGTTCTTCTCTGCGGCGCTCGAAGGGTCCAATCAGCCACGATAGCGAGCGAGATGCATCTGAGTTCGTAGATCCTTGCCAGTAGGATGGACCACGAGGGCAGAGGTAAGGGTGGGAACCAGTTAGACGAGGTGTGCTGGTGGTGGTGCTGGTGGTGGTGCTGGTCATGATGATGGTCGGCGATCCTACTGTTCGTTCCCCGCGGTCGTACACCCGTGCATGAGCTGACAGCTGACCCGGGTAGCATGGGGATAGGAGCCTCAGCCCGGGTTTGCGATGCATTTTCACCAACTGGAATGGTGTTTATGGGTTTTTTTTTTCTTCTCCTTTTTTTTTCCTTTCTTTTTTTAGCCTCCCTCCCGAACGGACACGGCATTTCAAACTCTCCGCGTCGGGTGCTGCGGGCATGGCACTTGATTTTTGGGGTGGTTCGTCTCCTTTCTATGCCCGTGCGTGTAAGCAAGCAATGCAAAGCAAAGCAACGCAACTGCCAATTGCCAACTGCCAGCCACTGCTGCCCGAGATCTTGCAGTTGAATCGAGTCGACCTAGATCCCGCTTCAGTATGGCCAGTTCAGCACAAGCCGGAACTTGGGATAGTCACCGGGATACATCGTGAGCACAGTGTCGGGCACAGCAGCAGCTGGGCCTCAGATCGACGCTTCCTCCCCCCATTTGTCCTCTGCCTTTGCCCTGTGCCGCCGCCGACTCGCTGGCACCCTGGTTCTGATGACAGCCGTGCCGCCGGGTATCAAAAGGCCCGAACAGGCCCAGTATTATCCAGGCAGTTGGCCCTGCAGTGAGTCGTCGGTCGACCAACAGAGGTCGGGGCTTTCAATCGGGAAACCTCCCCGGAATCCCAGCAGCGCGTGAAAAAAAAAAAAAAAAATCAGAGTAAAAGAGGGAAAGGGGCCAAAAAGACAGAGAAAGGGGGTGGGTAAGGGAGGCTTGCCCTGCTCATGCTGCGCCCCCCGTTCATCCTCCTGGGTGAGGTTATGCCCCGTGCCGACATACATATCCATCCGTACGTTGTACATACGCTCTTTTCTTACTCTTACTCCCTCTCTTGCCTGTGCCTCATCCTCGCGCTGACGACCGCGGCAGTTACGGAGGATCACCAGACACGATACTACGAGAGACACATGGCATGGCTCTCATGGTGCAGTGCAGATCGCAGAGCGGTTCCCCCAGTGCCGCCCAACTCCCGAGCGCCGTCGGAAATCCGGTGCGGACTCTCCCCTTCCTGCCGCGTCGTATGCATGCGAAATTCCCACTGGATGTCCATTCCCAATTCGGCGAATCCAGACCGAGCCTATCTGTCCATCTCGTCCATGGCACGCACGCCTGAGGGGAGGGTAATGCTTTGTTCTGTGCCACCCTCGATTCGATTTGAATCCTTGAGCGGTGCGCGATCTGAAGCACCTGATTCGTAGCCTTGCGAGGACGCAGTCCGGTGCTGCCCTATCTGGACTTGCCTTGCATGCGCGGAGAGGGAGGAATGTCAAGGTTTTTGACTCTCGCCGTACTTTCAGGGAGTCTCGATACTGGCATCTCGTTTCCTAGGCTGTTTTCGGATTTGATTTCCGCACGCACTCTCACCCGCCTCACATCTCACATTGCTACTCATCCTCAGCTCCTTGGGGGACAGGGCGCCAACCAACCAAGACTCGCCTACGATTTCGCGAGATGCCTGATTGCGGCGTGCGGTCGATGGTGGCGCCCCAGCGAGGCATACCAACAACGAGCTCGGCGTTTCGCGACTCGACTGGCTCGATGGTGCCGAGAAGATCTGGAACTAGCCACACCGGTCGAAGGGTTTTTTTTTCTTCTTTTTCTTCTTTTTCTTTCTTCTCTCCTTGATGAGACGGGAAAAAGAGACATCAACCGAAGCCGAGTTTCCCTCTACACGTGTATAATTATGCGCCTGCGCCTTACAGAACGGGTGTTATTGGGCATGGGGGATGATCTGAAGTACCTCCGCCGTAGGGAGAGTCGTAGGCGGGACGGGTCGGAAAATAAACCCATATTTGCCACACTCCTTAAGACATCCTGCATCACCCATGTGGCGAGCCGATCTGCCCTATTTGTTTTTGTCCTTCTCTCCCATTTGTTGTTTCTTTTGTGTCCTTCCCCCACTTTTGTACATTTCTTGGTACGTGTAGAATAAACGGAGCGCCATGTCTGGGTCGCAATGCTGAATCCCAACTCACTGAATAGCGAGAAACATGCTGCTGGCGTACGTATAATTCTTACCCGTCTACCTACTTGCGTAACCACAACCGCGGCATTTGTTAGGGGACCGATTTCCCCCCGTTCCACCATATGGACTAGGTATCTGACTCGGTCGCCAAGAAGGCAAGGAAAGGCAAATGCCGGTTTTATACACTAGTAGCGAGGCAATATAGGTATGTGATACATATGTACAGCTCGGCAGGGATTTCTGGTTTGTCATGCCTCTAGCCTCTGGTATTCACACCCGTTCACTAAGGAGTACATATGTATGGCGCTGGAAGCCACACTGAGAACAGGAAGAAAAACGACTTTATTATTATTATATCATTAATAAGGAAGAGAAGAAAAAAAACCAGAACCGGGACTAAAGTGTGTAACTGCTGACGTAAACCTGCAGACCATCTTGTCAGTCAGTCTGGGGACACATGATGCATGTCGATCGCAAAGGCAACATGAATCATGGTCGGAGCTGTCGATCAGTATCTGTACCTTAATTATGCATCGTACGAACAACCCACTCTGGGTCAGACCAATAGATCCGTTATCTCTTTCTCTCTCTCTCTCTCTCTCTTTTTTTTTTTTATTATATATATATATATATATATATATGTTTCCTTCCAGGTGATGCGGATGAACGCTGTGCCCAGCCCAGTGACGATACTTGTGCAAGCTGAAATGGTATCCTGAACGTGTCGTACGATGTATTACTTCCTACGTACCTACCCGGGTAGGGGTGGGTATAGGTCAGAGCTCGAACAGAGAATTTTGCACTGACCAGAGCTAGGACAGAGATATCGCTGTCAACATAATGTTCTAAGACTTCGGACATCTGACCAGTCCATCGAGCTCTGACCTATAACCAGCCAAACCCGGGTAGGTACGTTGTAGCCGGGGGGAGGAAGAAAAAGAAAAAATCCCATGTACAACGCACATACATTTCAAGCGTAAACGGAAATCTCCGGGCATTTTTCCATGAAAATACGGTAGGGGACCATCCTGGGTACGTGCATGCCGCGTGCCACATCCCCGCATCGTCGGGCTCAGATCTTCGACCGTCTTGGTCCAAGCTCGCCGAGCTTGGCTGCAGGGGGCGCACGGCAGTGTTCGACCCGATCATCAGCAGCTCCCCTTTGACCAATGGCTGATCCGTGTCTGGGGAGCAGTCGCCGAACGCGATGCCGTCGACGAAAGGGGATCGTGTACAGTATACCGATATTTCGTATTACTTCGTAGGATATGCGATATTCGTATACGTTGAATGTGCTGTGTGGGGGTTTTTTCTTTTCTTTTTTTTTTTTT